CCTCCCTCCTCCCCCTCCTCCCTCCTCCCTGCTGCTCCCGCTCCTGCCAGACTGCGCCGGAGGAGCGCTAGTGGGACGCTCTCAGAGCGTCCCGAGAGCTCTCCGCCCCTCGGCCGCGATACATGGGGGGCAGCGAGGGCTGCCGGAAACTGGCCCTGTAGGGCCCCTCAGGGAGCCCTTCCTGGCCCAGAAGGGGGGCCCCTGGGCCCCGAAAAAGGCTCAGCCACGCGCAGAGGGGGGTGGGGGGAGGGGGAGGGCTTTTTAGAAGCACCCCTGCTTCTTAGAAGGCGCGGGTCTTATCTATAGATGTAAAGCCGGCGCCTTCTAAGAAACAGCCTCCTTCTAAGAAGCCCTCCTCCCTCCCTCCACCCCCTTGTGCGCGCCCCCAAAGGGTACCTTTCTTCCCCCCATCTGTCTCTAGGCCTCCTAGATAGGGGTCCGAGTGGATGGGGTCGGAGGATCGTGCCGCATCGCCGATGCATCGGCGATGCATCGCCGATGCGACTCGATGTGGGGCCCACTTTTCTCCACGCCGGCGTCGCCGATGCATCGCCGACGTCGCCAGTGCATGGCCGATGCATGGCCGATGCATTGTCGATGCATGGCCGACGCATCGCCGATGCATCTGCGATCCTCCGACCCCATCCACTCCGACCCCATCCTGGGGGCCTCTGAAGCTGCCGCGCCCCCGTGACTGCGCGCCCGAGCTCCTGCTCCGCCCTCCTGCGCTTCGAGCATCGTGTCGCAGCTCGTCGAGCTCGCGTGCAAGGAGCGGCAGCTCGCCGACTTCCTGCCGTGCCTCGCCGGGGTGCCCCTGCCGGAGGAGGCGCTCTCGGCCATGCCGGCGGCTGCAGCGGAGGCAGGCAGCCCAGGGGGGTGAAGTTCCAGGTCTGAATTTTGGAACACAGGCATTACCAGTGGTGGGCTGTTTCTCAATCCCAGGACTTTTCGCCCTCCCCTCCCTCCCCTCCCTTCCCTCCCCTCCCCCTCCCCTCCTCTCCCTCCCCTCCCCTCCCTCCCCTCCCTCCCCTCCCCTCCCCTCCCCTCCCCTCCCCTCCCCAGGGTTCGCTTTCCTGTGCAAGTGTCAGTGCAGGGCCAGAAAAAGCGTCGGTGCATAGAGTTTATTTCCCTACCAGAGGCTCGGGAACGTCACGGCCGAAGGTTCTTGGCAGTGTTCCGCGTCTGGGGGGGGCCTCCCCGGGCCTGTCGACCGAGAAACAAGCGACACCACCACACCCACGACCTTCCATGTCGCGCTGCGGCTCATCGGGCGCCGTAGCGTATACCGCGCGAAAGCCCGCGCCAGACTTCCTGGTGTATGTGTCGTTTGTTTTCTGGTCCAGCCTTGGGGTCGTCCACAGAAACGGCTCGGGATGAAGAGCTGGTCCGGGACAGCAGGACCAGGCCTCCAAGGGCCCATTCCGCGGCGTGAGACGATCACGACGTCGGAGTTCTGGGCATCCTGGGGCTTCGATCGCCCACATCTTCGGTGCGGATCCCTGGCGAAACTGCGTACACTGCCTCCCCTTGGGCTATCTACTCCTTCTGCCTCCGCCGGGACGTGCTGTCGGAGTGCGCCCGGGCGCGGGACTCTGCGACGGCGCTGGAGATCAAGAAGTTGGCCACCGCACAGGACTTCGTTCGGCTTTGTGCGGGAGCTCGGACATCCGACGATACTTTTGGTTGTCTGTTCGCGGTGTTGTTTGGTTCTCCTCCCTCTCGGCCTCTGGGGCCGCTTTTCTCGGCTCTGGGCCATCAGACTTAGGTCTGGAAGGCAAGGCTGCCTCTTGTCAGGCGATCGCAGACATGGACCAAGGGGGGCGTAGCGACGGGCCCCGCTTCCATGGGACCTCGCGGACTCCCGCCGCCGAGCGAGGCGGCACCGCCGCATTTTGGGGAGGGCGCCTCCCCTCACCACCCACCAAACCACCCCAACCCAACCCGAAGGCTCAGATTTGCCCTCGATTTCCAGTTGGGAGGGGGTCGGGAAACATCGAAAAAACACATGTGGAACCCTTACCCCCCCCAACCCGAAATTCGGGTCTTCGGGTTGGGTTGGGGTGGTCTGGTAGGTAGTCATCCCCCGCTCCATGGACCTGGCGACCGCGCTCCAGATCCATGGATCGCGAATCCATGTCTGCGCGCCCCAGATCTTGAGAAGGGGTCGGGAGCTCCGTGCGTCGGGCCGGACGAAAGGGGGGGGGGATAGGGAAAGGGAGGGCTACGAAGTCTGCCGCCTGCAGCTGCTTTCTGCCCCGCCGCCGGGCCCACTCCTCGATGCATGGGCGCCTCCCGGCGCCAGGAGGCGCTGGGAAAGTCAGCCACGTGAGCCGACTCTCAACCCCCCCCCTTGGCCATCCCCCCCTTGGGAGCGCGTGAGCTTGGGAGTGCGTGAGCTTGGGGGTGCGTGGGCTTGGGAGTGCGTGGGCCCCGCGCGGGAGTGCCTGGGAGTGCGTGGGAGCTTGGCCTTTGGCCTTTGGCCCGGGGGTGCGTGGGGGCATGTCCACGCCCACGGCCTCGCCACCCTACTCCTCCTCCTCCTCCTCCTCCTCCTCCTCCTCCTCCTCCTCCTCCTCCACTCTTCGGCCTCCGCGGCTCCGCGGATGCGGGGCCGCCCCGCGCGGGCGCTCCCCCCCCTTGCGCGGAGCGCGTGCGCCGCGCCTCGGAGCCCAGACCGCGAGGGCCTCGAGGGTACAGTGCCGTTTTAAATACACGCTCCGCGTGCGGCTCATGTATTACAAATGCAGGGATTTAGTATTAAAAACAACGATGAGTTCATGCATCAATTCATTCATAAATCAATCATGTATTAAACATTTTTTTTTTTTTTTTTTTTTTTTTTTTTTTTTTTTTTTTTTTTAAAATCCGACGTATTAAAAAAAAAACTGCCCTGTATGTGGACCCTACCAAATCGAGGGTGCTCTTGCGTCCCGTGCTTCGCGACCCGTGCCCTCCACACTCCTATGGCAATGTGGCCCTCGGAAGGGTCTCGTGTCCTCTCGCGTGTCCTCCCCAGTCCGGCCCGACGGTATGGACGTGCTGGTCGCCCGCGAAGGACGGCGCGACGCTGTCCGACGCCTCCTTCTGCCTCCTCGTCAAGGCGTGCCAGCACGAGCCCAAGAGAGTCAGCGAGCTCTTCCAGGAGCTGGCGGAGTCCGGCCGCGCCGTGTCCCAGGACAACGCCCACCTCGCGCCGATCCGCGTCGATGCCGAGTTCACCAGGCTCGATACGATTCGGTTTCGATCTCCCGGCGACCCGATGTGACCCGATGCTTGCACAGCGCAGTTGCGCATCCGGGCGCAGCCGATCTGGTTCGATCGCGCGGAGGAGGGAAGCCAGCACAAGCATAGTTGTTCGGAGGTCCGCGCGGATGTCTTGGATCGGCGCTGGACCCCCCATTTCTCTGGCCCGTGGAGCGCGCCCCAGGGGGCCCAGACGCATCCCTGACTGTTACCCTTCATGTAGTTTTTCGTTTTCTAATTCCAAATCTCTGATGTCTTGCTTCTTTCAATGCGGGGTTCTCAGATGTCCCGACACTGTCCACAGGGCCGGCTTTTGATCCCGAGATGTTTTTCGAATCTCCCCCAATGCCCCGCGAAAATTCCCGAAGGCGGAAAACGGTGACGACGACGATGACGACAACGTCGACGATGACCTCGAGAACGACGGCGACGACGACGACGACGATGTCTGGAAATTTCAATTCCGAACCGATGCGCGGCCCGATTCGATGCCCGCGTCGGTCTGGCCAGTCGTCCCCCGACCCGATGCAGTGGAGGCCCATGTCAAGAAACACCCTGCTTGCCTCCAGGGTGCCCTGGGTTTCTTGGGTTTCGACGGTTTTGCTTTGGAGAGCGCGACGTGCCCACACCAAACATCGGTGGACGCCCTGGGGTCTCAGGGTTGGGTTTCTTGTGGTCGGGCCCCTACAGTCGGCCCAGATTAGTAGGTCGACCCTGCCAGCTCAAGGGTACCCTTGTGTCCTGTGCCTCGCGACACGTGCCTTCTTACACTCCTATGGTGATGTGGCCCTCGGAAGCTTATAGAACTCCGGAGGGTAGGCCTACCCTAGGCCTACCCCTAGGCCTACCCCTAGGCCTACCCCTAGACCTTCCCCCTAGGCCTACCTTAGGCCTACCCCTAGGCCTGCCCCCTAGGCCTACCCTAGGCCTACCCCTAGGCCTTCCCCCAAGGCGTACCCTAGGCCGACCCCTGGGTCTACCCCTTAGGCCTACCCTGCCCGCCCGACCCGACCGCTCGTTAGGGTCCGCCCGCCCGACCCGACGACCCGACCCGCCCGTTAGGGTCCGCCCGACCCGGCCCGACCCGCCTGTTAGTGTACTCGCGTGTCAACTCGATCATGTACCCGACCCGACCCGCCCGTTAGAGTACGCCCGCCCGACCCGACCCGACCCGCCCGTTGGGCTTCGCCCGCCCGACCCGACCTGACCCGCCCGTTCGGGTTCTCGCGCGCGAACTCGATCATGCACCACGCTTCAATGTCCCGCCCGCCCGACCCGACCCACCCCATCCGTTTGGGTCCGCCCGCCCGCCCGACCCGACCCGCCCGTTAGGGTCCGACCCGACCCGACCCTCCCGTTGGGATACTCGCGTTAATATCCCGCCCGCCCGACCCGACCCGCTTGTCAGGGCCCGCCATTCGACCCGACCCGACGCGCCCGTTAGGGTCCGCCCGCCCGACCAGACCCGACCTGACCCGCCTGTCAGGGTTCTCGCGTGTCAATTCGACCATGCACCGCACTTACACGTCCCGCCCGCCCGAACCGACCCGCCCGTGAGGGTCCGCCCCCCGATCCGACGCGACCCACCCGTTTGGGTCCGCCCGCCTGACCCGACTCGACCCGACTCGCCCGTTGGGGATTTCGCGTGTGAACTCAATCATGCACCACACTAAAATTGTCCCGCCCGCCCGACCCGACCCGCCTGTTAGGGTCCGCCCGGCCGACCCGACCCGACCTGCCCGTCGCCGGCGACGTCGTCCTCCTCTTCCTCCTGCTGTTGTTGCCTTTCCCCCTTGCGCCCCCGCGGCGGCGTCGACGACGGCGACGACGGGAGCGGCGACGGCGACGGCGGAGGAGTAGGAAAACGGGGGAGGGAGGAGGAGGGCGGGGAGGAGGCCGAGGAGAGGGAGGAGGGAGGGGGAGGGGGAGGGAGGAAGAGGGCAAGGGAGGAGGAGGAGGAGGCGGAGGTGCGGGAGGGGTTGCCGCGCCCCGTGCGTGGCTCAAGGCCCCCCCAAAAGGGCCGCCGCGCGCTCCCGCAGGTTATGAGCCCGGCGCAATGGCCTTAGATTTGCTTCGGGATCTAGGTGCGATGGCAATCGATCCTAGGGACATTCCGATTCCAGACTTCGACGACCCAGATCTCGATGACGATTTTCGTCCGGCCGATCGTGATCGTGTCGTTCCCGTTTCACACTTGTTTCACACACCTTTGACACAGACTACTTTCACTGTGACGGACAGTCGCGACGCTGCGCCACGTCCGACTGGAAGCACAGTTCGCGGTGGGTGCCCGGCCACACCACCACCACGACAACAACCTAGACACACTCTGCGTGCCGACGCGGACAGTCGCGATGCTGCGCCACGTCCGACTGGAAGTGTTGAGCACCGGCCACAACAGGGGCAGCACTCAGGAACAACACCACACCCACAGGACACCACGCAAGCTTTCCTCATGGCACAAATGGGGGAGAGCTTAGCCGAAGTGGCTCGCGAGCTCTCTGCTGCCCGCTCCGGCGGCGACGGTGGCAAGCATTCGTTGCCCGCCTTGCCGGGCGGCGCAAGAGGCCGCGCGTTGCCGAGCGTTTCCGCTTGGCGCGCTTGGACCCAGACGAAGCTGGCTGGGTGGTGTGGGCTGCAGTCGCAGGGGTTCGCGGAGGCCGTCCTTGCGTCCCTCGGCGGCCCTACTTCGGACGTTTCCTGTGTGCACAGCGAGCCCTGGTTCGCCAAGGCCAACAGAAACCTTGCGTTTGAATTGTGCGCGCACGCCAGCGACGACACAGGCCTCTACTGGACAGGTGTTGCTCGCACGGACGGGGTGTCCATGCTAGCCTCACTCCACGACGCCATAATGGCTTCGGCCACGGCGCACACTGCAACCTTGCACGACAAGTTTGCGTCACCAGTGCCGGTCTCAGACCGCAGCAAACTCCAACGCGCTCTGAAAGTGTGGCAGGCGGAGCTCTCCGAGCTTCGTGCCGCCGACTCTGAGCCGTCAAAGCACACGGTGCTTCGGTCTCTGCGACAGCTGTTGGGCAAGTTAGACGTCCTGCGAGTCCCCCTTGAGATCGTGGAGATGTCCTCCCCGGACAACCCGGGCGCCATCTTCAAAATGGCGGATGCCAAAGCAGGGCACTGGGCTGGAGAGGCGACCTCATCGCAACAGGTGAGGGTACTGGCGAACGCAGTGCGCGCCGACAGAAACGACAAAGGGAAATACAAAAACAAAGACAAACGCAAGAACAACAACGGCAAGGGCAAGGACCAGCAAACTTGGATCCCATGTTCTTTCTACCTCAGCGGGTACTGCCGCTGGGGCAACACCTGCAAGTTCTACCACTCTGGCAACGACGCGAGCAAGTCCTTACCAAAGGATGTGTGCCGCATCTGCCACCAGCCCGGACACTGGGGCAACGAATGCCCGAACAGAGGACTCCCTGGGGTGGGGCCCGGGGCGGGAAAAGGACAACCCGGGGTGGGGCCCGGGCCAAAAGGGGACGCCCAAACCAACTGGAAAGGCTTCGGAAAAGGATGGGGCAACGACGCGCCCACGTCCGCGCCTCCTGGTCTTGAGACCGAGGAGAGCCGGAAGCGCAGCCGGATCGGAGCCGGCGTGCTGTCCGGCGAAGCAGCTGGATCGGAACCGGCGCCAACAACACAACAGTCCGCGGCAAACATGGCAGCTTTCACCCAGATGGCACAGCAGCTGATGAACGAACAGAAAACCAACTACAAAGCAGTGAAGGATATTCTGGAGCGCGTTTCTGGGAACATGCTCCGAATCTCCACTCCCAACCTCACCCTCGGGGTCAACGGCGTCACTGCGGATTCGCCCCTGGCGATGGCGGCGGATTCGGGTGCCGAAAGACACGTGCTGGCAGGCAAGGATTTCTGGCACGCCAGGAACACCCGCCCTCTCGACGCGCCCCTCATTCTCGAGACGGCGAACGGCGAGACCGTCGTCACGCACCAGTGCGACGTTGTGTGCGGAGGCGTTCTCCTTCAAGGCGTCCTGATGTACAAAACCGCAACATCGTCCCTTCTAGCAATCGTCCTCCTGACAGACGACGAATGGCAGTACCGCCAGGCTCGAGCCGGCGCTGTCTTGACGGACCCCGCCGGGACACCTTTCTTTCTATACAGGTCTGGGAACTTGTTCATCCTCGTGGCTACTAGTGCTACACCTACCCCTTCACCATTACCATCTTCGTCACCATCATCATGGGGAAGGGGAGGGAGGAGGAAGAGGAGAGACGGGAGTAGATCGCAACGAGGGTTTTGCTGGGGCGGCGTTTCGCAACCAGGGTTTTGCGGAGGAGGATGACAGTCGCGCCGCTGCGCCACGGCCGACTGGATTCCGGGAGCCCGGCGGCGTGGCGGACAGTCGTGCTGCTGAGCCACGGCCGACTGGAAGCCCGTCGCCGGCCGCGACTTCGCCAGAGGGTCGCGGCGGGTCGTGGGCACCAAGCACTTTCGAAATGTATGCTGCCAGCGTGCGGGAGGAGCCCGTCCTGGTGGTGAACACCCCGGAGGCGTTCCAGCAGTACTCTGAACGTGGTGACCCTTCGAAAATGATGTTGTACCTCCCAGAGCGTAAAAGCCCGCCGAGCGAGATGGACCCTGCGTTCCTTATCCATTTTAGGAAGGGCCACGCGGAGCACGACCCGAATTGCGACGTCTGCGTGCAGGCGAGGCTTCGTGCTCGCCCGGCCCGGCGGGTGCACCAGGAGTCTCCTGGAGGAGAGGTTTCTTCAGACCTCTCCGGCCCCCTGCCCGTCAGCCTAAACGGTAACAAGTACGCCCTCGTAACTGTAATCCGGCTTTCCAGGCATGGCTTTGCAAACCCGTTGCCAAACAAAGAGTCTCAAACAGTGCGAGACGCGATGATCGATTGCAAGCTCGATCAGCGACGGTTGTGGCGATTCCATTCGG